GTTTTCTGGCCAGACATCTTTGCATGCTAAAGATAGCACGTAAATTTGCATGGGTTTATTGTTTTTGTTTCTTTGCAAATAAAGCAAAAAAATCTTAGTTGACATGTAATTATGAATTATTCTTAAATGTTGCATTTTAAAAAAAAGAAAAAGGTGAATAATTATTTTATTTATTCATATACTGATTACTGCTGGGCAGGCCCAAACCAACTTGCATGAGATTCTGCCGGATTTACCAGGGTAATGGGTCTATAACTAGTGTGTATTGTAGTGATGAGTTTCACTCATATATCTTTTCAGTCCTGTTCCAGATTACATCAAAGCAACTGTAGAAACCGTGATGAAAATTCACCAGACAGAGGGAGATGGAGACATATTAGCATTTCTTACCGGCCAGGTAATTTCAATGGACCTTTTCTCTGTAATAAACAGACTTGTTAAGGCAGCACCAGAATTACTACAGAAGCTGTTACTTTGCTTAGCTGTTTATGTTTTATTGTATTTTTGTGGTTACTTAATTGCAAAAAAAAATTGTTTGATTTGACGTCATTCATCTACTGACTACATAGTCAGAGAGTCATTGGCTCCTGCCTGTTCTGTCTGCAGAGGGTCAAATGTATTTGAAATTTATTAGCTGATTCCAAAGTATATTACACATTCATTCCATAAGCTGTTTACTAGAATTGAATATTGCATCAGGTGCATTTATGTGTGCAGGTTGCTGCTGCAGGCTTCTTTTTCAGTGACACCTTTACAGCTTATCCTGGGGGTGCTAAGTGGGCACATCACTGGAAAGACAATTGAACAAACCCAAGTGCTCACTCAGGGTTGTAACACTGTTCAAAACTACCCTCTAACTAAAATCTTTTCCACTGCTGAGCATTTTCCACAGTTCAGTAATCTTTTCTTGAAATGCGTATAGCGATTTTATCTCCCACAGCTTGTTCATATGTATGCATTGCTTTGTCACAGTACCTCAAAGTTGAGTTAAGTAGTCATTGTTTTTTGTTTATTAATCTGACAGTTGCAAATTTTCACTCCACAGGCACCATTGTTGGGTAGCATTTAATTACATACCACTCCAGAGTAGAATGTGATCACACTGGAGTCATGAATCTGAGCACAGTTAAAATCCTAATCCCAACTTTCGTATCTTTCATATGAAAAAGTGACTTGCTTCAACTTCGAATTGATCTTGGTTTGTTTGGTTCCTGGTTCGATGTTTTAGGAAGAGGTCGAAACTGTCGTGTCTCTGCTGATCGAGCAGGCTCGGGCACTAGGTCGGACTGGGATGAAGAGACACCTCCGGATCCTCCCCATGTATGCAGGACTGCCTTCCTTTGAGCAAATGAAAGTGTTTGAAAGGGTGTCCCGCAGTGTCCGAAAGGTGAGACTAACCCGATGACCAAGGGTGTTTGCAGACATCTATAATCATTTTGGGGCCCTTTTGCTGTGCACTGGAAAGGTGTTTTTTTTTTACATTGAAGTGAAACTTGTACAAGCAGGTTTCTGTAAGAGCTCCATGTTTCTGTGCAATATTTTGAAAAGCACACAATAAATAATGTGTTGCAAAGATTTCTGAACCTGCCCCACAGAAGGGTCACTCTGACAGTAATTATCAGAGCAGGTGACTTCTCCTTATCTCTTTCCTGCCTGCCTAATATTTCCCCATAACACAATACTACCTTGGCTTGCGGGACCGAGTTGGTGGATTGTGATCAGTGGGAACAATAGGTATATTACTACTAGTGGTTCCTAAGCCATTGGTTTGAAGCATCATTTTGCCTGTAGTGCCAGGTTTAAGTTAATTAGTTTAAGGTGTGGCTTAAAAATATTTAGCATTGAAATTGGGGTGGGGAAGGGTGTGGTGGGAAGCATTGGTTTGAAGGAGCCGGCAGGCGACCAGTCTGCTTCCTGCTCGTTGTCCTCCTGGGCCTTACCCCATTTCCCTTCCATTGGATGAGGAAGACCCAGGACTGGCCTGAAGTGGCTTGTAGTAGCTACTCATGAGCAGGTGACAAAGAATACAGTAGGTGGGGGATGGTCTGACAATCCGCTCCTACTTTGAACCACTTGGAAGAATGTGCTCAGCCTTCCGGCCACTGGGAGGGAGCAGCTGGAATCTTCCCAGTGAAATGTGAACTATGGCCAACCAGTCAGGAGGCCGTGGTTCCGTGCCCGAGTTACTCTGCCCTGGGATGAATTACTCAACCTCAAGGCCAGGTGTTCTCAGCTGTAAAACATAAATAATAATAGATAGATGGTTTTATAGCATATGTCTGCTATATAAAAATGGTAGGCAGATTTTTATAAAATGATAGATATAAAAGTGCCTTTAGAAAGTTCTAAGTGCTATCTATACATGACCTGTTGCTTCAGATCCTTCAGGGGCAGCTCCAGTGCACTGGGAATAAAATGCAAACAGCTCACAGTGTCCCAGAGACTGTGCATGATCTGTCTTAGCCTCCCTCCGGCCTCATCTTGTACTTACTCTGGACTGTGGCCGCACTGGCTGTTTCTCCTTTCTTTCAATTGTTTCTTCTGCCTGGATCTCCAGGGTTGGCTGCTTCTTGTTACTCATGTCTCAGCTCAAAATCATCTTTTAGAGAGATTTCCCCTGGCCATCCAATCTAAAATAGCACAGCCCATTATTATAATATATAATAAACACCTTAAGTACTATGTAATGTTATATTCATGCTCTGTTGTATTTTCTTTCTCACACTAGACTCTGGGAGAGCAGGGGTATTGTATTCTCTTGTTCATACATCCCCAGCACCTTGCACAGTGCCTGGCAAAGCACAAACCCTCAGAAAATAGCTAGAATGTGAGTGAATAAATGGGTTTTACATGCGCAGGGTGGTGATTTATCTTAGTTGTACAAAAGGCAAAAACTAACATTTGTTGAATATTTACTATGGGCCAAGTACCAGGATTAGAACCCAACACTGGGAAGGGGGTAAATATTATTTAATGAGAAACCATGCTCAGGAGGTTAATTAACTTATTTAACATCACATGCTCTGGAAGAATTCAAAACCAAGATATTCTGTCCCTAAAACTTATGCTTTTGCAGGATACCAAACTAAATAACTTATTAAAAATGAAAAGAACCAAATAACTTTTATTTTTACTCTTCGTTCTGTGGGGAACTTAGGTGATAGTGGCCACCAATGTGGCAGAAACCTCCATTACAATCAGTGGGGTTGTGTATGTGATCGACTGTGGTTTCATGAAACTCCGAGCCTACAATCCCAGGACAGCTATTGAGTGCTTGGTGGTGGTCCCCGTGTCCCAGGCATCAGCCAACCAGCGAGCAGGACGTGGTGGCCGTAGCCGCTCCGGAAAATGTTACCGTCTTTATACAGGTTAGTGTGGCTTTCTTCTAAGGGTTTTTTATTTTCTGTCAGCCTCGACATTGGAGAATATTATATTTACCCTCAATGGGCAAGACTTCACACAAAAGCCAGCCCTCCCTCACATGTCCCTTTGTAATCTGGTCCCCACCACCTTGCTCCTCTAAACGTAGTACTTCTTTGCTACTAGTCCCTATTGGCCTATTAGTGTGCTGTTTTCTTGTTCTGGAATCCCTGAACCCCCAGTGGGGGGTCCCATCTTTAGCTCTAGTCAGAGCATCTTTGCAGAGCTAAAATAACAAGATCTATCTCACTGACAGAAAGCAAATAGTTGGTCTACTCCTGCTCTGTACTGTGCACCATGCTAGGCTCTAAAGGAGCAAAATAAATACCATCAGGACTGTTCTGGCCTTAAGGAGCCTTCTCTTCAGCTTGAAGACAGCCTTCCCTATAGACAGTGATATCCCAGAACTGCTCTTTCTCTCTCTGCACTTCTCTTGTGTGAGGGATGGTACTAAGATTTCTCTCAATTGTCCAGACCTGGTTTTCACATCATTTGCCGTCACCAGATCTCTTCTTTCCTTTTTGGTTACTGTTGCCCTTGTTCAGTCCTTGACATCATTTTTTCTTTTAGCAAATGTTTACAGAGCCAAGCACGGTGCCAGGGTTTGGAGATCTAGGGCTAGGTGAGACATGGTTTTGACCACGTGTGGTCATTGACAGCCTGGTGATGGAGGCAGACCCACAAACAGATTGACATAAAGGAATGAGCGTTGGAAGCAGAGATCAGAGTTATCCTGTTGGGGAGGACTTTGAGATTGAGTATTTGGGCCTGATTTTATTGGCGGCCTAGTAGTTATCCACTGAAGGGCTAGCAGTGGAGATTAGATTTCAGCACACCCGGTGGAGGGAGTGGAATGCACAAGTACGTGGGCGGGGAAGAAGGGGGAAAAGAGTAGCCAGGGGAGGGAAGGGAGGGAAAGGCAGAACCTGAGGCCAGAGATGTAGTGTCTTCCACCCCTGAAGGCACTAAGAAGGAATGGTTAGAGTGGAAAGAGAAAACCAAGGCAGGAAAATGCATCCTGAAATTCAGGAGAGGAGAAAGTTTCAAGCTACTTAAAAAAATTGTTTTTGAGGGGAAATTTACATAATATAAAATTAACTATTTTAAACTGAACAGTTCAGTGGCATTTACAATTTGTAACCACCACCTCTATCTAGTTTCAAAACATTTCCATCCCTTTAAAGTAAAACCCTTACTCATTAAGTGGTTTCCCTCCATTCCTCCCTGCTCCCGGCCCCTGGCAACCACCAATCTTTGTTTTGTCTCTATAGATTTATCTGTTGGATATTTCAAATAAATGAGATCATACAATATGTGACTTTCTGTGTCTGGCTTTTTTCATTTAGCATAATGTTTTCCAGGTTCATCTATGTTGTATCAGTACTTCATTCTTTTTTATAGCTGAACTAGAGGCCCAGTGCATGGATTTGTGCACCAGTGGGATCCCTTAGCCTGGCCTGCTCCCTCTTGCAATCTGGGACCCCTTGGGGGATTTTGGACTGCCAATTTCACCCTGATCTCTGCAGGCCAGGCTGAGGGACCCCACCAGTGCACAAATCCATGCACCGGGCCTCTAGTATGCATATAAGATCTTTGGTTAATCTCTTTCTGCTCTCTCCCCTTCCCCCTTCCCTCTGAGATTCATCATTCTGTTTCATGTTTCCATGCCTGTGCGTTGAGCGTCTGCCCCCTGGTAGTCAGTGCCCGTCATAGCTAATGGTCAGCAGGTTGCTTGGGCTTTTGTATATATAGATAAGCCCTAATTGGTTTGGCTCAGTGGATAGAGCTTCAGCATGCGGACTGAAGGGTCCTGGGTTCAATTCCGGTCAAGGGCACATGTCCGGGTTGCAGGTTCGATCCCCAGTAGGGGGCGTGCAGGAGGCAGCCAATCAATGATGCTCTCTCATCATTGATGTTTCTCTCTTTTCTTCTCCCTTCCTCTCTGAAATCAATAATATATATATTACATATATAGATAATATTTCACTGTGTGGATACAACACATTTTGCTTATATATTTATCAATTGATGATTGTTTCCACCTTTTGACTATTGTGAATAATTGCTCCTATGAACATGTGTGTGCATGTACTTGTTTGAGTACCTGTTTTTAGTACTTTTGGGTATATACCTGGGAGTAGAATTGTGGGGTCATTTAATAATTCTGTGTCTTAACTTTGAGGGACTTAAGTTTTTTTTAAATTTATCTTTATTTTGAAAATATCACAAATGTTCTTCCCCTCTACCCTCCATTGAGGAAATGGTTAGCATAATGTCATGCTTCAAAGAAATCTAATAGTAGAGTACAGACTAAAGATAAGCAGGTATATTTGTCTTCCTTAGCATGAGCAGTTTTAGTAGAGGTGGGGTTGGGAAGGCCAATCGACAGCAATGGGGTGTGTTCAACCCAGCCTCTAAGCGTTCTTGGCTAACCTAGTACTAGACGAGCTTCAGAAAGCACAGCTCTGAGCATGCTGCCTGCTCAGGCCCTTAGGAGTCTCTCTGAGCCTTCCACAACTGTTCTCGGCTTACCTTCTCCTCAGTCCACCTCCCTCCCCACGCTGCATCACAGCTGCACCACACTCCTCCTGGACATGCCTTCTGTTTCCCACACCCACCTCATTCCTGTGATGCCTTTCCTTGAGCTGTTTCCTCTGCCCAGCACATCACATTCTCCGTATCCTTCACATCCTCTCTCAAATGGCACCTCCCTCATGAAGCAACCTCAGTTTTCTTTCCATGGCTATGCTTCTTCCTTCCCTGAGTCTCCCTTTTCCTTTGGGAGGACCGCTCATTGGGACCTTGTCTCAGAGGTCACTGTGTCTGGTCTTATCCCAGGCTTTTGCATATCACTGAAGCCTCTCAAAACCATTGGCCTATGGCTCCTACAGCTCCTGGCCCAATGCTTCACGCTCCAGTCCTCAGTGGTGTTTAATGGGTGTCACTCAACTCTTAGGAAGCACTAACTGCCTGTGAGTGTCTTCTCAGGGGGCTGTCCTCTTATCTGATACTTTGCTTCTCCCTTGGTCAGCTCGGTGTTTGGAAATGTGGCTATTCTTCCAAAAAGCTATCCCCAAAATGCTGTTGAAACACAAAGGTGGTATCCTATTTGAAACTTCCTGCTCTTGCCTGTAACCAGAACCTTCCAGTTAGACCCAGGTATTTGACAGTTTGTATCAGTCACTTCAGAGAGTATTGGCTGTTTCCTCAGGGACGACTTTTATGAAGTTCTTCAGGGAGAGAGCTGTTTGGTTTGCTTTTTCTCTAGTTAACTGCAGCTTTATAGTCTCAGTGGAAATGGGGCCACCCTGTGTGAAGGAGGGTGTTCACCGCTAAAATGTTGACTGATGTGGGAGGGTTTTGAGGGTGGAGCATTCTCTCTATAATCCATAAGCTTTCTGAATATGAACAAAATGGATTTAATCTCTTTCTCCCTCTTTCCCCCGCCTTTTTGTCTAGCTTTTATAAGAAGGCCTCCCCCTTTCCCTCCCTCCCTGTTCTCCTGCCCCTCCCATCTTGGCACCTCTGTGCCTTGTGCTTTTCCCTTGAGAAGTCACCTTTTGTTCCTGGTGGGGCAGGCATGTAAGCATTCATTAATCTACTTGGGACAGCCATTGGGATATGAGTGTGACGTGTGTGCTTGGCTCATTGATTCGAAGAGTTAGATTTGGACAGTTTTTGCTCTTCATAAGATTTGGTAATTTATTATATTCTGGTTACTGTTTTGGTAATGTATTTTGAAGTTATTCTTTGGTGTTTATATGTACTGTTCTTGCCTTTCAACTTACTCTATCCCAAGCAGAGGTATGGGAACTGGACACCAATAGTGATTCAGCAAATACTTGTTGCTTTGATTTAATATTTTGCTGACAAAAAACACATTCTAAAAAAAGTATCCTAAAAGTAAGAGGATAAACTTCCATAATGATATATTGTTTATAAAGATATAAATTGCTTAAGTATTTAAGTAGAATGGTCTTTCTTAAACATGAAATAACTTTATATCATAATATATGCATTTGATCCAGGAATCCTAGAGCCTCTTGTTAGAGAAGGAAAACTGTCCCTTTGTCATAATGATTGCATTTGATTGTGGCATTTGATCCCAAACAGTTCTGATTTCCTATCCTCAGAGGAAGCCTTTGACAAGCTGCCTCAGTCCACCGTTCCTGAGATGCAGCGGAGCAACTTGGCACCTGTCATCCTGCAGCTGAAAGCACTGGGAATTGACAACGTCCTCAGGTTCCACTTCATGTCGGTGCGTCCTGCCTTCTGTCTGCGGCCATGGGGAGGCTGGAGGGCTCTCAGGGGAATGTTAGGACATTGTTATAGGGCATGTCAGCTTGCTTTCTTTCTCTTTCTTTTCTTTCTTTCTCCTTTCTGTTCCTTTTCCATTTCTGTTTCCTTTCCTTCCTTTCTATTTAGCTCCTATGTTGTGTGCTTGCTTTGTACCAGCCCTTGTGTAGGCTACAGGGGGAATACAGCCAGACCAGTTCCTGTCCTTGTCCACTGGGGAACAGAGACAAGTAATGAGTTATCACAGTGCATGTGCCCAGTCCTGGGAGAGACAAAGGCAGGGCCCCCAGCCCAGTTAGTCACGCCTGTGGTGAAATGTGAAACTCATGGGATTTCACCAGCTCGGGACGGGGAGCGAGATGCAAGACAGTGAGCATGTTTTAGGCCTACATGTGAGAGTATCACAATTGGGGGAGCCAAGAGGGCTTTTGGTAGAGCTGCAGGGAAGGGTCTTGTGGATGAATGGTCTCTGCTTATTCCCCAAGGCAGGTTTCCAGGTGTGAAATTATTGGGTCAGAGGGCCATAGTCCTTTTGTAGGTCCTTGACATGTGGTCGAGTTGTTTTACAGGTATAAACTCCAGCAGCACAGGAATGCTCTACTCATTGTGCTCCTATCATTACTATATGACTTTCTTTTAGAGTTTTGCTAATTTGATTGATGGTGGAGAAGGAGAAAGAAGGTAGAAAAAATACCATCTGTACCTTATTATTTTGATTTTCGGAAGATAGTTTTTAAAATAAGTTTATTGTGCACTTTATACTTTTACGTTGTTAAGCCATTTATCTCTTAGAATTAGCGTTTATTAGTGTTTTTCAGGAGTCCTTTAACTATTAAAAAAATTAACCTTTGTACACAATATTTCTTGCAAACAGTTTTTCTATTTACTTGTATTTTACTGTTTTTAAGTTTATTATTATTTTTTAATGTGCAGACATTCTAAACATTTCCACAGTAAAGTCTTTCTGCCTTTGCCTCTATGGCTTCTGTTACTGTGCTTATGAAACTCTCATATCTAGTTCAGTTAGTTAATAAATATTCACTCATATTTTCTTGTTGAATTTTTATGATTTGAAGACTTGCATTTTAACTCTTTGTTCTGTCCCAGCTGTATTGTTAAGTGGTATGGCAGGTCTGGATTCTTGGATAATAAAATCCCTAAAGTCACACCTGTCACATAAACTAGGCAAATGAAGGAATAGAAAAATAGCACTCTTCCTCCCAAAGGAAATAATTATGGTTTATCATAAGTGTGGAGAAAATGAACCCTTTGTTTATTGGTGTATAGTACAAGAAATTATAAAGAAAAGATGAAAAGTAAGTGCAAATTAAAAGCTATTAAAATCCCACATCTAAGATTAAAGGAAAACATAATGGCAACAGTGTTAGATCAACATCTCAGTAACTACATCATGTAGAATAAATCTAATGTCCACTGAAGAAAAAAGCTAAAGGAAAGGAAATAGCACAAACAGTAAACTAATGTCAGAACATGCTCAGCTTTTCTAGAAGAGAGAGAAGTGCAAATTGAAATAATTGTAAAGTCCACTTTAAGTTAATCAAATGATCAAACACAAGGAGAGATGGTAAGAGCCGGAGCTGACCCAGTTTGGGAAAGAGGTGTCATCCTGTGTTTCAGTCCTCACAGAGGCATTCCTAATACTATTTTATGAGCCAGAGCAAGGCCTGATATTTTCTCAGGGAAATTTTTCCTGGAAAAAAGTTTCAAAAAAGGACAAAAAAGTCCATGTATTATAATATTTATAGCATCACTTTGTTTTAGATTAAAAAAATATAAATGATGAAAACCATAAACTTTGGACAACTGAGAAATGAGGAAAATACATACAAATTCATCTTCATGTACTCCCTTCCGGTTATTTCCCCCTGAAATGATGTTTTTCACTATTGGATTTCACTATTGAAATCACGGGGTTCATATAATTTTGTATATTTTGCAGTGCTAATTACAGTAGTAAAGAACTGAAAACAACTTAGTTGCCCAGTAATAAGAAAATTGCATATTTTACAGAGTATGTATGACCTTGATGGAATGTTACTCAGCTCTCCCAAGTAATCACTGAAGTTCCTATGGGTACAAGAAACAATGAAAACAGAAAATCAAACAGTGAGGAAAAACAGCTAAAATTATACATACCCAGTCCTTCCAACTATGTTAAAACTGTTTGCATATGATCCCAAACCAGATGAGGCCATAGAGAAATGCTGGTAAATGTAGTAGATGTGTATTTAGGTGAAAATATTAGGGCTGTGAGGAGAGAGGTTTTGTTCTTTTTTGTTGATTGATAATAAATTCATGCCCTAACTGGTTTGGCTCAGTGGATAGAGCATCGGCCTGTGGACTGAAGGGTCCCAAGTTCGATTCTGGTCAAGGGCATGTACCTTGGTGGCAGGCACATCCCCAGTGTGGGGTGTGCAGGAGGCAGCTGATCGATGTTTCTCTCTCATCGATGTTTCTAACTCTCTATCCCTTTCCCTTCCTCTCTGTAAAAAATCAATAAAATATATTTTTAAAAAAATAAATTCAAAGAGCAGAATTAAAAGGTGACTTGGTGATTGACTAGAAGTAGGGTCAAAGATCGGAAGGACTCATAAAGGACCTCGTTAGTTTTGTTCTGTACGTATTCAAAACCTAGCTCAGTGCATTGCTGCTCCTGTTGTCAGCTCTCAGTAATCTCAGGGTAAAGATCCCAGAGAGATTAGGCTCCTCCACTCAGATGCTGTTTATTTGCCTCTGTTGTAAAGTCGGATGTCAGAGGCACTGAGGAAAGGCTAGTGAGTCAATTCCATGACTTAGTCAACGATGATGTGTGGAATGTCCTCTGTGTAGTGAATTAGGTCTAGTTTTCACCCTCATAAATGTGTATGTACAGTCATCACAACTTTTAAAAGTACAACGTTGTTCCTTGGCTGTCAGTGGATGGGGCAGAGTGAAAAAAGTGAGACCTGGGTTCAGTTTCTGGCTTTGCCATCCGTCAGCTGCCTACTTGACCCTCTTCAAATGTCTTTTACTGATTTTAATTTCTTCATCTGTAAAATTGAACTAAAACAGTGTGATACATAAAATATGTTTGTTATGTGAATGCATTTAGACCAGCCCAGCCAGTGTTGCTCAGTAGTGAATTTCAATCTATGAACCAGGAGGTCATGGTTCCATTCCAGTCAGGGCTTGATCCCAGGGGGTGTGCAGAAGGCATCCGATCGATGACTCATCAATGTTTCTATCTCTCTCCCTTTCCCTTTGTCTCTCTGAAATCAATAAAAACATTTTTTTAAAAAAGAAATCACACAGTTTGAAAACTATTATAATTTTATTACCTGGCTTATTATAAATGAAGTCATTTAGCAGTAAGTAGTAATGGTGCTTGGCAGTTAGTAGATGCTCAGTAAAGATTTGTGGAAGGAAAGAAGGAGGTGAGGATCTAGATCAGACTGAAGGTCACAATATTACTAGTAGCTTTGTTTAACTTTAGGTTATCTGGCATTCTGTATTACTTTCAGGACTTCAAATTCAATTGCATGTCAGTTACCACTTATAGGCAAGGATTGGAGCCGGCTCTGGGTGATGCAAAGATCAGTTGCCAACCAGTAGTTCAGTATTTTGGGTAGTAGAAGATTGAGACTAGGCAGTGAAAATTAGAACTGTCTGATGCGAGTTTAGGAAAAACAAGGAAGTAGTTCAAGGTAGTCCACTTCTGATAGAGGGAAGCATGAGGAAGGGCCTCCATGGGAAAGGTTTAATCAAGCTGAGATTAAAGGCTAAACAGTGTTAAGGATGCTGAGATGTATAGAAAGGACATGTTAAGGGACACCAGCATTATGTATAGGAGCATGGAGGTGAAGTATGGGCCACGTGGAGCGGAGAGTGGATTCGATCTGGAAATAGTCACATTTTTATGTCTGTCACCTGAAGAAATTAATTTTTATATTTTTTACAGCCCCCTCCAGCACAGTCGATGGTTCAAGCATTGGAGTTACTCTATGCCCTAGGAGGTATGCCTATCTATTATTACTAGTATATGTTCTCTGAGCTGTTCACTAATATGTGATGTTAGGTTGTATTCACTTTAGGGTTCTTAGTATCTTCAGGAATGGCATTGATTCTCCCCACATAAATAATCCTCTTAAGGATTCTTAAGCTTTATAGAAATAGGAAGGTGTGATTAATAGTACATGACGTCTACTCCTGACAATGAATTAATAAAGCATATCAGTACATTAAAAGCTATTCATAACCATCAGCAGAGCCAAGCCCCCTCCTAAAGACATCCAGGAGATTTTATACCAGTATTTCAGGTGTCACCTCTCCAGACCTTTTTCTCTGTCCCTCCCCCCATCCTGAAGTCTGTGACTCAGCCTTCGTTCCCTGTGGAGATTTGGGTAGCATCCAGCCTGGGTAAGGAAACACCATGTTATGGGGGAATCTGTATTCTCTCATTGTTTGAAAATGTAGTATTTCCCTTGAGAGAGAAAATTGTCACCTAAATTCACCACCTCAGGAAATACGTATTTTTTCCTGTGAATACTGCCCCAAGTTAATATAATATCCATTTTGGTAATATGTTTCAGTGGAGGTTTTAGATTTTTTTTTGCTTTTAACATCTTTATTGAGGTGTAAGTTACCCATTTAAAATGTATAATTCAATGGTTTTCAGTATATTCACAATGTTGTGCAACCACTGCCACAAGTTTAGAATATTTAGAACATTTTTATCACTCTAGAAAGAAATCTGTACCCATCAGCACTCACTCCTCATTCCCTCTCCCCTCCTCCTCCCAGGGTGGGTCCTGCTAATCTACTTTCTTTGTCTATAGATTTGCCTGTTCTGGACATTTCATATGAATGGAATCATATAATATGTGGTCTTTTGTGATTGGCTTCTTTCATTCAGCATGTTTTCAGGATTCATCTATTTTGGAGCACATATTAATACTTCATTTCTTTTTATTGCTGAATAATATTCCATTGTATGGATATACCACACATTTTTTCTTATCTACTCATCAGTTGATGGACATTTGGATTGGTTTCCTCATTTTGGCTAATATACATAATGCTGCTATAAACATTTGTACACAAGTTTTTGGTGGACATCTCACCAACAATGTATGGTGGTTTCCAATTTTTCCACATAATAAAAAGTTGCTAGTACTTGTTACTGTCTTTCGTATTATAGCCATCCTAGTGGGTAGGAAGTGGTATCTTGGGTTTTGATTTGCATTTTCTTAATGACTAATGGTGTTGGGCACCTTTATTGGCTACTTGTATATCTTCTTTGGAGAAATGTTTGCCCATGTTTAATTTTGGGGAATTGTCATTTTATTATTGAGTTGGAGGAGTTCTTTTTATAGTGTGGGTACACGTTTCTTCTCAGGCCTGTGATTTGTAAATATTTCTCCCATTCTGTGGGTTGGCTTTTCACTTTATTTTTTCTTCCTTCCTTCTTAAATATATTTCCATTGATTTCAGAGAGGAAGGGAAAGGGAGAGATAGAAACATCAATGATGAGAGAGAATCATTGATTGGCTGCCTCCTTCACATCCCCCACTGGGGATCGAGCCCACAACCCGGGCATGTGTCCCCGACCGGAATCGAACCTGGGACCCTTCAGTCCAAAGATTGACACTCCATCCACTGAGCCAAACCAGCCAGGGCTGGCTTTTCACTTTTTTGCAGTCCAAAAGTTTTACGTTTTGTTTGTTTGTTTGTTAATCCTCACTGGAGGATATTTTTTTCCATTGATTTTTAGAGAGAATGGCATGGAGGGAAGAAGGGGTGGGGGTGCGGTGGGAGAGAGAGAGAGAGAGAAATAGTGATATGAGAGGGATAGAGAGATACATTGATTAGTTGCCTCCTGCACACGCCCCAACTGGAGCTGAGGATCAAACCTGCAACCCAGGCATGTGCCCTTGACCGGGAATCGAACCCGTGACCCCTTGGTTCGCAGGCCGATGCTGTAACCACTTAGACACACTGGCCAGGGCAAAAATTTTAAGTAATTCAATTGTTACTTGTGGTGTCGTAGCTAAGAAACCATAGCCTAACCCACTGGCATCAAATTTTTTTCCTAGATCTTTTTTGAAGAGTTTTTAAAATAGTTTTAGTTCTGACACTTAGTGGGTTTATGATCCATTTTGAGTTAATTATTTGTATGGGGTCAGGTAGGAGTCCATCTTTATGGACATTATATTTATGATACTTCCCTGTGAAGGAATAACCAGTTACTGATTTAAAGATCTTCCGTGATTTAAAAGGCCTTTAGGTGGGTCTACATCAAGGCAGCCCAGAGTGAATGTGTGCCAGGATAGATTTCTGTCTTCTGTTCTCAAGCTTGTAATAGGAACTTGAAAGCAAGGTTTCCTGTATTATCTGTAATGGGGATGGGAGAACGTTGAATGCATAGAAGTTTTTCATTTGGACTAATTTTCCTTCAATCAGCATGACATTTAAAATATTTTCTATTTCTTCATGGCCCTAAATTAACTGGAAAAGATAGAGGGAAACACCCAACTTAATTTAGTTTCAAGGTGAATTATCATTTGTTTAAAGAATCATTTGTTTTAATGCTACATCTTGGGACTAGTCTAAACAATAGTCTACATTGTGGGCATTCAGTTTCTGGATATTGGCCAGTGGCAAAGAGGCAGGGAGGGATGTGGGGAATTGAAGGAGCCCGCCTGCCTGGTTCAGTAGACTGCCCAGGAAGCAGCTGGACAGACAGCTCTGGTGTTGGCACCAAAGAGAGACCTGGGCAGGTGTTTAGATTCATAATCATGGCCTGTAATTGCTCACATAGTAAGGGAAGAACGGAGGGCATGGGATGTCATCCTGGGACATCTACCATGGGACATGGAAGAAGATCCAGAGGTGACAGGGAGTAGCAGGAGAGGTGGCAGAGCAGCAGGAGGGGGAGGGGTTCCTGGGAGCCGGGGAAGAGTGTTTCCAAGGAGCTGTGGTCTACAGAGTCAAAGGCTGCTGCAGACCCTCCGGAAGCGCCCTGTGCATTTCGCACTGTGTGGTTGTTGGGCCCTTGGAAAGAGCAGTCTGTGGAGAATATGGGACCAGAATGAGGCTGCTGTGGGCAAGGAGAGAGAGGGAGCAAGAGGAGGCTGCAGGGCCATTTCCTTATAATGAAGTCCTTGAATAGAAGTCATGGAAAGTATCAGTTTTTTAAATTAAATATTCAGGAACTGAAAACAGATCTTTTCTTCTTGTAATGTAATGGTACTTAGGTGTCAGATTGAGTGTGGTAGTGCATGATTCATGCTTTGGATACCTTTTTTCAGCATACATCATCATCTTTTATTCTTCAACAACTGTACGTCTTTCAACACAGTGGTACGTGCCTTCTGATGGTTGTTCTCATGGCAGGTCTGGACAAAGACTGTCGACTAACTGAACCACTTGGCATGAGAATAGCAGAGTTTCCTTTGAATCCCATGTTTGCAAAAATGCTGCTTGAATCAGGTGGGTGGAGACCAACGGTTCTCATTGATTTTATTGTGTCTGTCAGAGGAGTTATTTCCCTGGATTCTGTGCACCCTGGGGAAGAGGGTACAATATACTTAGGGGAGTGAAGGAGCTATTGATTAACGCTGTTGGGTTTGGGGCATGTTGCTAACTTGTGATTCAGTGTCAGTCTTTATTAATTCAGTAAGCACTTCTTTTTATTTCTCATGAGCCTAGCATGAATACCTTTAGAATTTTTTTTTAAACAGGGATGTTACTGTGGTAAAAAAAAAAATACATAACAAAATTTACCATTTCAACCATTTTTTAAGTGTACAGTTCTGTTGGGCACTAAGTACATTCACACTGTTGTTGAGCCATCACCACTATTAATTTCCAGAACTTTTTAATCTTTCTAAAATGAAACCCTGTACCTACTAGACACTAACTCCCCATTCTCTCCTCCTCCCTAGACCTTGCAAACACCATTCTACTTCTTGTTTCTGATTTTAGAAACCTCATAAAAGTAGAATCATACAATATTTGTTTTTTTGTGGCTGACCTTTTTCACTTGGTATGTCTTCAAGGTTCATCCATATTGTAGCACATGTCAAAATGCCCCTCCTTTTTAAGGCTGAATAATATTCCATTGTATGTATTGATCACATTTCGTTTGCCCATTCATCTGTTGATGGACACTTAGGGAGCTTCCACCTTTGCTATTGTGAAGAATGCTAGGAACGTGGGTGTACAGATATCTGTTCAAGTCCCTGCTTTCACTTATTTTGGGTATATATTTAGAGCGGAATTGCTGGAATATCTAATAATTCTGTGTGTAAGTTTTTGAGGAATTACCATACCATTTTCCACAGCGGCTACACCATTTCATATTTTCCTCACTAACGCACAAGGGTTCCAACTTCTCTGACATCTTCAGACTTCTGTGAGGATATAAATTAAGGGATAAAAGCGTATCATCTAAAGATCTTCTCATACTTAGAAACCAAAATCATCTAGAGAGCATAGTTTTCTCGGCCTGGGAAAGTAAATAAATGTTTTCTTAATTTTATCTAACTTTTACATTAATTGGCAATCTACAAAGTTGTATGTCAAACTAAGCCTGGTGAAAGTTAACTATAATTGTGTTTTGGAAAACTACGTGACCTTAGCCTTACATTTAGCAGCAGGTTTCTAAGTTTGGAGTTGGGGAGTGTGCCACTCATGAGGCAGGGAGCTGGGGAGCAGTGGGACAGGCAGTGCAGTTCGCCCTCACTGTCTATGTCTTGGAGGGCTATTGCTGCAGATTCTGGTCCCAGGTGCCAGCAGAGCAGCAGTAGCTACAGCCCACAGAGTGCTTCCCTGGTCCAGTTTTCCAGGTGCCAGAGCCTTACTGACAGACAGGCCACCTCAAAGAAGGGTCCAGGAGCAGAGAAACAGCAGAAGGGACACAACCACGTATTCCCTGCCCCCTTCCTCTCTCCGGCTTTCTGCCAGAATTCTAGGTGTCCACATAAGAGAGCTGTGAGCAGGTGTAGAGCTGACCTGCCCTGAGTGGTGGGGCCTGTCCCGCTCCCCATGGCTCACAGGGAGTGTAACACTCTCCGTGTTACAGCTGCAGAGTTAATGAGCACCTCCAGGCATCAGGCCAGGTGTAGGACATTCCATTTGGCAGGGCGAAGCGTTTATGAATTATAAACTTTAAAAATCAAGCCATATATGGATATATCTTAGTTTGCAGTATGGTACAAGGAAAACATCAGAAAATGTCTTTCACTTCTTGTTGATACATTGCATGTTTGAAATCAAAGGTGCTTTGTGTTTTATAGGAAATTTCGGCTGTTCTCAGGAAATTCTCAGCATTGCAGCCATGATGCAAATACAGAATATCTTTGTGGTCCCCCCCAACCAGAAATCTCAGGCAGTAAGTCCAGTGTTCTTTCTAAGCTGTTCATACCAGTCTCTTTCACTTTGGGCTTTCCTTATTAAAACGACTAAGAACTGCTGACAGTCGAGCTGTGCAAATCCCAGTTTGCATTTGAGTGTTTGCTGTGTGCCTGACATGTGCATTATTTCATTTTATCTTCACCATAAACCACGAGGTAGATGCTGTTATAATCACTTTTAGAGATGGGGCCACAGGAAGGTTAGGTGACTCACTCGTGGTTGCACAGCCAGGGTGGAGTTGCCTTGCACAGCCCAGAGCCGCAAGTCTTAACCATTGTCTACTGACTTTCCCGTAAGGAAACTTGTCCTTTAGGCTGTTCTGGGAGCAAATGAGTGGGCACATTAGTGACGTAAGGCACAGCAGGGTGATTCTGGTCATGTTGGAAACAAGCCACGGAAATGACAAGGCCCTGCCTGAGGCCCAGGTACCATTGACTGAAAGCATGAATGTTGGAAAGACTGTGAAGGAAAGTTGTGATACTGAGAGCGCCATGCAGGTGAGGCATACGATGGAGGCAGGTCAATGATGTGTTCAAAGTTGGCTGCTGTTGGAAGAGCCAGAGAATCGGCAGCCTTCTGCACGGAGGGCTGCCTTTGGATCTGTAGTTGGGAGGAGAGACCTTCCTTGTGGATTCTTGTCATCTTCCCTGACAGTCATATAACCACAGATTACGAAGTTTTCCTGCCTCCATGCCCAGGTGGTTTTGTCTGTTTTCTCCATTTTCTGTTTATTTGCTTCTCTATTAGCCTTTTTAACAATCCTACCTCAGGATAGGCAAACTCATTTTCAAGATGAAGAAACAGAAGTTCTGATCAGTCTGTCTAAAATTACAACATATTCCTCCTTCCCCTTTATATACCATCCCCTGCTTTATTTTTTTCCTCTAATACTTCTTACCACCTAGTATACAAAATATTTTCCTTGTTTATTATATTTTTCTCACCACCATATTATTTGCTGTTATATCCCAAATTCATAAAACGGTGCCTAGCCTATAGTAGGTGCTTAGTAAATATATGTTATTGAATGAATGGAAGGAAGAAGGAAGATTAATTATGTGGTATTTGATCCAAGGAGAAAATTCTGAAGTGAATAAGTATGAGTGTACTTGTACTTATATTGTATATGCTGCTCCTTGAACACATGGGAGCAGATGGCATTGCCCAGGATGTTACAGAAGGAAAAATTTAGGGATGGGTTCTGAGTGGTAGCCTAGAAACATGAGTGTCTACCATGTGCCAGACAGTTGGCCCCTGCCTGGAGCTTACATTCTATTAGGGACTGGGAAGAGTTCTGAAAGAGATGATATTGCCTGCAAGAGGAGGAGAGAGACAGGAGCACTAGTATTTATCTAATAACTGTACTGGGTACTTCATAGTGAATTATCGCAGTTACTCAGCAAGCTTGATAGATAGGCTTCATATCCTGATGTTATAGATAAGGAAATTAAGGCCGAGAAAGGTTAAGTAACCGATCTGAGGTCTTTCGGGAAATGGCGGGGCTAGAATGGTGCAAACCAGGTCTTTCTGGATCTACAAGCCATGAGCCATTCATTGTATGTTACCTCCCAGTTCGAGAAGCTCACAGGAGTCAACCTCTAAGTGTTTTTTTTCTTTCCAGATTCGAGTGCACCGAAAATTTGCTGTGGAGGAAGGTGATCATCTCACTATGCTCAACGTGTACGAGGCATTTATCAAAGTAAGCATGGCCACTGCTTGAAAGGCCTCCTCCACACACCTGTTCACTCTGGAGCCAGGAGTCCAGAAGTTCCATTCATAAAGGAATGGCCAGGAGACCTCTTCACTTTCCTGTTAGATATGGCCAGTACTTCTAATCTATGGGTTGGCTCCTGCCTGAGACTGTGATGCAGTTTTGCTGAAAGAACACAGGAATCTTGCTCCTTTCTGCCTAGAGGCGAGGCCTGTAGCAGCAAGCTGCCCGCTAGGCCCTCCTCGCCCCTCTCCCCTCACTCTGTCTCTCACCACCCAGTGTTGCTGCACAACACTGCCAGCATTTGAATAGGAACTTCTGTGACATTTCCTGGAAATAATTAGTGAGGCGAGGTGTCCTTGTAGGTTTAGTTGACTCTTCAGAGCTGTTTATGTGAGTTTGAGACTGCACACAGCCACCTCTCCTCAGCAGCAGACAAGCTTATGGGAAGACATTTTTGTGAGGATCCATCTATATTCACGTACCCGACCTGTATTTAGCCTTAGGTGATGTTCATTTTTATTCTTAATATTCTGTAGAAGTAAGAGCAAATAATATAGCTTAAAGTTATCACTAAAAATTTCTAAAAAGAGAGATCTAAAGATGATGAAGGCAATGAAAATAGAAACCTCTCATATAAAGGAAAGGATGGATGTAAGGGGGGATGAGATATTTCAGATTTTCAATATCTTTCTTTCGTTTTTTAAATACTTTTTTAGCAGAGGAGAAACACTAACTTTTTGTGTAGGAGATCTGAAGGGATTATTCAGTTTTCAGAAAAAAACTGATCTCTTACTGAGATTATTAATCATGGATTAAATCAGTTCAGATTTGTTTGTATATGTGCAGTATATCATCCCCAACCTAAAGCTCCCCCTGCCAGTGGAATGCAGTTACAGGTCTTCATTGTGTTATTCTGTGGTTGCTTTCTGGGAAATCTTCTGTGTTTTCATTTTCTTATTTAAAACACTTTCCTCCCTCTCTGTAAAATATCAATAAATATAAAACACTTTCCTCCCTGGCTTATACTATAATTTCCAAGGTACATTCCCATGGCAATAATTGATCTAAGATATAATGATCATTCTTTAGAATTAAGAATTAAGTTCTGTTGATAGAAAAATTGTACTTTCAGGACAAATAGTAATTTGGAAATTATTTCTGAATTGGCAAGTGTCATTGCTTGCCTGCAGTCCCATAAAGTGGTAAGTTCAAGCACTGCGAACAAAGGAAGGAACGTTGATTTACAAAGAACCGTAGGGAAATGATTCTGTTTGGTAGTTTGCCACTCACGTAGGAAGGTATTTAAGATTGTCATTAAGCCCAGACCGGTTTGGCTCAGTGGATAGAGCGTCGGCCTGCGGACTGAAAGGTCCCAGGTTCGATTCCGGTCAAGGGCATGTACCTTGGTTGTGGGCACATTCCCAGTAGGAGATGTGCAGGAGGCAGCTGATAGGTGTTTCTCTCTCATCGATGTTTCTGACTCTCTATCTCTCTCCCTTTCTCTCTGTAAAAATTCAATAAAATATATTAAAAAAAAAAAGATTGTCATTAAGATTGACAGCTCTGCTTGTCATTAAGTTCTCATTTGCCCTTTAAGCAGAGAGTGAGATCAAAGAGCAGTCAGATGGTGAGCTTGCCAGCCTCTCAACATCTGGCCCAAAAAAGGGCCAGTTTCGGTCTGAAGATCTTGTCCCACTGAGTGAGCAAGTGCAGGAAGAGAAAATGAGGATCTTCACAGTCTAGCTGTGATCAAGAACCTGTCTGTGGTTTCCTCACTCTCCCCCCTTCTGGATTATTCTGTAGCACAACAAGAACTCTCAGTGGTGTCAGGAACATTTCCTGAATTACAAGGGTCTTGTCAGAGCTGCGACAGTAAGAGAACAGTTGAAAAAGCTTCTTGTCAAGTTTCAAGTGCCCAAGAAATCGAGTGAAGGTAAGAATAAGCTGCTACTGCTGGTGATGTTCCTTTCTTTGCTTGGTGTAGCTGCACTGTTAGGGTTCTCATGTGGGTGTGGTGTGAGGCTGTGCAGTGTGTTCTGGACCTGTGTCAGTGAAAAGCTGTGTGTAAAAGTAGCATATTTTTTCTAAGGAGGTTCATTTTTATGTCCGAGGGTTATTGCTAAAAAATTTTCCTAAGCCTTGAGAACACTTAAGAATCATTAACCTAAAAAAAAAAAAAAAGAATCATTAACCTGCCCTAGCTGGTTTGGCTCAGTGGATAGAGCATGGGCCTGCGAACTGAAAGGTCCCAGGTTCGATTCCGGTCAAGGGCACATGCCCAGGTTGTGGGCTCGATCCCCAGTAGAGGGTGTGCAGGAGGTAGCCGATCCATGATTCTTCTTTCATCATGGATGTTTCCGCCTCTCTCTCCCTCTTCCTTCCTCTCTGAAATCAATAAAAATATATTAAAAAAACAAACAAACCAGAAATGTATTATTAAAAAAAAAGAAAGAATCATTAACCTTTAGATCATTGCACATTATATAGTTAATTTCCCCCTGGAGGCTTTCTAAGAAAAATTACTTTTAAGTGGACAGTACTTATGGCTATGACATATAAGTTACATTTTACTCTCAAATACAGTATTTTTAAAGCAAGTGCTGTGTGTTTAACCTGGGCCATCACCAGGATGAGACGGAAAGTGCTGTGTAAGGCACAATCTCTGGCCTCTGGAGTGGCAGTGACTACCATGAAGTGGGGACACACTGGGTTACATTACACTGTGACAGAGGTCCTACAGTTCTCTCAGTCTCCCACTCTGCGAGGTGTGGGAATTATTACCCAAACTTTATATTACAGTTGAGATGTCAAGTCCTGGGGAGAAGTTAAGTTCAGGATGACACAGTTGGTTACAGCAGGGGAGGTCTGTGTGTGGCTCAGAAGCTACACTTCTGAGGAAGTGACGCGTGCACTCCTCCATTCAGCAGTTGTCTTTTGAATACCAACAGTGTGCCAGGCACTCTGGGGGTCTACTCTCAGCACCCTTAGTACTTCCCTATAATGGGCCAGGCAGTGTCCGGAGTGTTTTCATATATTAATTCCTTTAATGTGCACAACAATCCAGTTGTTACCTCCATTTTATGGATGAGAAAAATGAGGCCAGGAGGCAGCGAGTATCTTGGGGATTGAGTGCCTGTCACCTAGCAGAGAGGTTGCAGTCTTCTGCGTCTGTGTTTCTTACCCTATTTTTCATGATCAACCCCTCGCCCGAGAGAAAAGTTACATTACATTCTTCGTAATGAGAGAAATTAACCACTAGGAATAAGATTTTGTAGGGAAGGATTGAACTTTGAGGGCCTTAAGTACTGTACTATCCAAGATTTCCTCCCACTTGCTCCCCAAGAACCATTTTTTCACCCCTTTTGTTCTACATGGAAATGTCTCATGGCCAGTTGGAAACAAGGGCTTGCTTCTCGGATCAGATTGTGGTTAGAGGTATAAATTTGAGATTCATCAATTCTGTGCTAAAAAGAAGAGGTACTTTTTTGTCAAAACATTGCTGGTAAAAATGCAGCAAAACTGATATTCTCATACACTGTTGATTTTGTAAATTATACTACCTTTTTGTGTACCTATTTATCAACAAACTGTATTTCATTGAATCTAAATGCCATTATGAATAAGGCATGTCATTATTTTATGTGCCACTAAGGAAGAAAAATGATGCTACCAATTATAATTATAAAATGCTGTCCTGATTTCAGTGAGTTAAAGTATAAAAAAAGAGTGAGTCTTAGAATTGATGAAATATGGTATGTCAGTAGACACATAAATGACACTGTTTGCACAAAAACTTGGGATGTATCCTTTGGGAATCATCTAATAAATGGAAGTCTTTATCCTTGGAGGATGTTTACTGTAGCAATACAGACACCCATTAAAATGGAATTTGAAAATTGAAGAATTACACACTGTAGCTTATAACCACAGAAATAATGTAATGTGAGTGTCCCAGTTTGTGTCTTGTGAGAAGAGCATCATTCCCACAAGCTGCTCTCCTAGAAAGGAGTTCCTGAGGTCACTGGCCAGCCAGCGGAGTGCTCTCTGAAGTTCTGGTGCCCAGCGTTGGTCTGGGCATCTGTGGCCCAGGAAGGTTTGGGTCCCAAGTTAAAGGCACAGCACAGTTCAGCATGTTTCCCTCAACAGCCATTGCAGGTTGCCAGGTGGTTCGAAGCAGCCTGGGGTGGGGCCTTGCGGCACAGGCGTGAGCACACAGAGTATACAGAGGCGAGGGTCTCATCCATCATTCTGTTGGCTGCTTTGTGTAGGTGATCCAGATCCGGTTCTGAGGTGCATCGTTTCGGGATTCTTTGCCAATGCCGCAAGATTTCATTCTACTGGAGCTTATAGGTAACATGATACTTTATGAAGTCGTTTATTGAAGGAGAAATCTTAAAAATGTCCAAACCACATAGAAAGCTGATGTACAGAAAAAGGAGAGAAATTAAAGGATTTTCTCTTATTTATATTGTGCTTCTATCCAAAGGTGAGTTGTTAGCTATATAGCTTTAAGCAAAGTCTCTTAACTTTATGGAAATGATTCTCAAATATTCAGTCCACATGTTGTAGAAGGATGATAATTTACAAGTCAGGAGGCTGTCACATTTCCATTCCAATAGTAGAATACTAGGACTAGAAAGAACCATTGAAGATGCTCTGCTAGAGGAGTTACTTTTGTCACTGGGTAGCTCAGGTAATTTTAGAGAATTGCAGGATTGGAGCCACCACTTACCTCGGTGCATTGTGGCCACATTGGGGTCTTTGGATGTTGGCCAGTGTTTCTTCACGTGCTGGACCTGCCCCCCCACTGCAGACTGCAGCCTGTGCTTCGAGGCAAAGAATATCACTGGTGGTTGATGCCCACCTAACAGCCTTTAGTGTATTAAAATATAGTAAAAGTTAATGTATAGCTTAACTTTTCTTCTCCAAACTAAATCATTCCACTTTGAATTGTTCCTTTTAGTCTGTCTTTCCTCTCAGCTCATTTTGGTCTCATAACTTCTCTGTAGCCCGTTTAAAGTGTGGCGACCATAACAATCTGTTACTTAATAAGGGAGCAGTCAAAAGGCTTTCTCCCCAGCTCTTCTCTGGGTTCCCTTCATATATTAGTTTGTCATTAGCTTTTTCCCCTCAGAGGACATTTCAGTCCTGTTACCTTGAGGTCAGCTGTGGATACTGGGCTTTATTAACACATCCAGGGTTGCATTGAACCCCCACCCCCCACCCCCCTTTTCATTTTTGGAAACCAAGCCTCCATCTAGTATCAGTTTGAACCTAGGTATAGCACTTTACATTTATCTCCGCTATGTTCTTTTTGCCGCCCCAGGCCAAGTAGTCTAGTCTGTCAGTATCATGATTCTTTGCCCATCACAGGAGCTCCTCTCCCAAAGCTGAGCTGTCCATGTTGGAGGCAACGCTGAGAGGCCTTTAATCCTCTCCAGGGAGCACCATTACTTTGTTGTCACCTTGATTGCCCCGTTCTCCTCAGCAGTATTAATTAGCAATTTCTAGTAGCATTTTAAAAAATTCTCCAGTGTCCTCAACAAAAACATAGGTTAAATAGGAGGCTTCACAGTCCTGAGTCTCTTTGTGACGAAGTTCAGTGTCGGTCAGCTCAGACTGCCTAGTAGGACAGCTAGGACCCCGGGTGCTGGAGGGGAACTCGGTCCTGGTGCTTGAAACACCTGCCTGACACACAGATCCCTGGCACCCACAGAAACTGTGGTTATGGTTCAGGCAGTGACATCCTAATCTATGAATGTGTGAATGCTCCCTTGTGATCGGATCTTATTGACAGTTGTGTGCTCAGTAAGTTTTTTTTTAATTAAATTGAGTCAAATCTGAGTTGGAATTTGAAATATTTTCTCAGCAAAATGGATACTTCAATATTGAGCTTTCTTGTTTCCTTATTATCTCCCCCATAGTCTTTAGTATTTAGCTTTGTTTAATAGAAATAATAATTTATATTATTTGTTTCCAAGGAAATTATTTTGAAAGAAAACCTACAAATGACAAACATAAGCATTGGCAGAGTCATATATTTCTAAACTTTTTTTCTGAATGTCCACGTGTTGCTTTTCTTTTCTTCTTTTGTTTGCATGATTTATTCTTGACTTCTGGGGTGGCAGTGGGGGAGGGGCCTTTGATGGGCATAAGAGAAGATGGAAAGAATAGTTGTGTTCCTGTGAAGTACAATCTGCATGCATTTTTAATAATATTAAACATGTCTCTCAGAGAGTCTTGCTGTAAGTATTTATAATGTGCTTCAGATAAAATTCTTCTGTTTTACAAGGACCATCCGTGACGATCATGAACTACACATCCACCCTGCGTCAGTCCTCTATGCAGAGAAGCCCCCTCGCTGGTAAGCCACCCTCTTGCTTCTTAGTCTTTAATGTGTCAAAGGAGAGGCCCAGTTCTGTTCATCTCTGGGCCCCTATTGCCTGGCACAGCACCTGGGACAGGCGCCCAGGACACTTTGCTATTGACTTTGTTATCCTGGGTCGTTTATGGAATTTCTGCTCTCTCAGAGAGCCCCTTAAGCAAATGGTGATGGTCCTGTACTCACTCATCCATTCAGCAAACATATGAAACCCTGCACTGAGCACAGCTGTGTGGAGATGAATTCAGGTCCAGGTGAATTTAGTTATCTTGGAGAGACAGACACCACAGATTTCAGTGTCTTAGGAGAAGGACTTTGATGGAGGGGTGTATGAAGAGTTGAGGTTGGCACCTCCTGTACCAAGGAGAGTCAGGGATGGCTGAGATGTTTCAGAAATCATGTAGGACCTAAGTCTCATCTGTGAAACAGACACACTCTTATTCACAGTGCGTTTATGAATATAGTGCCTGGCACACAGGATACACACCTAGTAAAGGTGATCAGTTCTAATGGTGATTTCTGACTCTCATCAGAAGATATAGGAAATTAGCTCATGTTTCTTTCCTGTTTCAGGGTTATCTACAATGAAGTTATACAAACCTCCAAGTATTATATGAGAGATGTCACTGCTATTGAATCTGCTTGGCTGTTGGAGCTGGCTCCACACTTTTATCAACAAGGAACGGTAGGAATAAAGAGTCTGTCCCCCAAAATTGCTTGTTAACCTGCCTCTTCATATTTTTAGACACACACTTATTCCCCAATTCACTGCCGGAAATTATCCCCTTAATAGGACGTAAGGTGAAATGGCCATTACTATATCCTCTGACCATTCTGGGTAAAGTACTTGCTTATAGTTTACTTTCAGTGAGGCTTGATTTTAGTCTTTAGTAGGACTGGTCTAAAGTAGCCATACTCCCATGACATGATGACTTTTTGATGTCTCAACTGAATGCCTACGGTATTTAATGAGGTCTTTGCACTGTGGTCAGAACTCCAGTGTCTCCATACTGTCCAGACCTCCAGACTCTCCCAGTCAGCTCACAACTCCCAACCACTTTTGTTGGCCAGCCTCATTGAATCTAAGCTTGCACATGTGCAGCTTAGTACTTAGCCAAAGACTCAAGGGTGGCCCCATGGAGATTTCTGGAGCTGTTCCCTTTCTTATGACCTGGTCCGTGAATTCCAGCTGTCTCAGGCTTCCTGGACTCTCCTCACCTGTCTCCTCTGTCCTGCACACTGTTCTCTATTTAGGATGTACATGCTTCTGTGTGCCAAGGTTTGCAGAGCCAGGCAGAGACCTGGGGTGAATATGGAGCTCACCTTGGGTTTCCTCCTTCTGCAGGATTGTGCCCTGTGCTGTCTGTTGCCCAGTGCCTGAAAACATTTGCATCGGATATTTTATCTGGTTTTCACCATCATTTACCTCAGAGGGAAAGTCTAAAACCTGTAACTTCATCAGGGTTATAACCAGACGGCAGTGTTTTCAACCCAAAATTGGTACATTTAAAAATTGGGAGATTTCACATTAAATATAGATTACAGGTTCCTTTTTTTAAAAATCTGTATTGTTGAAAGTATTACATATGTCCCCTTTTTCCCTCATTGACCTCTCCCAGCCTGCCCCACCCCCTCATCCCAGGCCTTCACTCCCCTATCGTCTGTGTCCATGGAGAGACGCAAATCAAAATGAGGTGCCACCTCAGGTTTCTCTTGAAAGCAGAAGTATCTGCCTACGTGGAGCTTGAGTGTCTGCGGTGGCAGCAACAACAGGCCTGAAGAAGGACGGCCTGCTAGGAAGGACCCTCCAGGCATCACCGTGCAGCCCTGGCTTCCCTTGTTCAGCTCCCAGGAACATCTGAGTTGTGACCCTGTAAAACAGCGGTTCTCAAACTGTGGGTCGCGACCTCTTTGGGGGTTGAACGACCCTTTCACAGGGGTCGCCTAAGACCATCGGAGAACACATAGATAATTACATATTGTTTTTGTGATTAATCACTATGCTTTAATTATGTTCAATTTGTAACAATGAAAATACATCCTGCATATCAGATATTTATATTACGATTCATAACAGTAGCAAAATCACAGTTATGAAGTAGCAACGAAAATAATTTTATGGTTGGGGGTCACCACAACCTGAGGAACTGAATTAAAGGGTCGCAACATTAGGAAGGTTGAGAACCACTGCTGTAAATGGAAGAATCTCATCTATCTCTCTTGCAATATAAAGGGCAATTGTCTTTTTAATATTTTCTTACAATATTTAAATCTTATCCAATTAAACAAAAAAACATTTCAAGCATTTCCTCATAAAGATATTTCAGTCCAAAATGAGACCAGCTGCAGGGACTGATAACAGCGCAGAATGTGGTGTCTCCGTAGTTGGGCTGACAGAATAGATTAAACTAAAGTGAAAGAAAGTATTTTCCTTTAAAACCTCTCAGATGGAAAGTCCAAGAGAAGTGATTAGAAAGGCAAAGAAGTTGGGAAGAATGGACAGCTGTACACATGCTTGTTAAAGGGATGAGGTGCAAGCAGTTAGAGGAGAACCCTAAAGAGCCGAAGGCTACTGCTGAACAGAATTACCTCGAAGCTGAGTCATTTTCCCTTCTCAGCTCAAAGATACAAAGTTAAAGAGCAAATAGCCCCAGAAGTTTAAAGAAAATGACAACACGAATTTCCATACTTGTCTCTTCTCTCCAGATGCCTGCTTTTCAGCTCAGCAGCTCTACTCTGATCATTGTGTGATCAGTTATTTTTAGAGAGGCGGGGACCTTTAGAAATCGCCTGGTTCACCAACCTTACTGTACAGGCGAGGCCCTGAAATTCCCCAAGAACCACAGCCCCTCCTAACTAGACAGTCCAAAGGTACCGCTGTTAACTTTTAGTCCAAAATGAATTGCTTTCTCCAAGAGCCCTGCAGACCTCAGTGGTGCCCATGGATGGTAGATGCGCCTGTTGAACACAGCGTAGCACCTCGTGACTGCCCAAGGCCCACCCACATGCCCGGCTCTGTTCCTGGCACCTTAGATGACTTTCCATTACCGTTGATTTTCAGTGTCACTCTCCCCTTGTAAAGAGGCCTGAAATGGTCTGGAGTCGGCTTTGTTTAGACTCAACATTCTTCCCAGAAATGAGCACCAAAAATGGTCCACAGGCATGGTGATGTCATCTCCCATTCCCAAGCTAAGGCTGTGGAGTGTCTAATGTTAGTGGTAGGGGTCACATCAAGTGAAGTGAGAAAATTGAGAAAAATTCAACAAGACCCACAGCCAGAGAGAAAAACAGGGTGACCCGTTCAGAGATTTCCCTCCAGACCTTAATTTTTAATTTTCCCCCCTGATTCTTAGAAATAGCTTTGGAGTCTGGGGAAAACCTCTAAACCAGCACCTTTGCAAGAGCCTACACTGGTCCTTTCTTGGGCATAAGCAGTTAGAAATTCACACGTGTCCTGTCCACACAGTCCTCTGTCGTGCTCGCTGGTGTGCTGTGTCTCCTTTGGCACCCTGCGTTCTCCAGGGCCGCAGGCAGTTCTCTGTCGGCCATGGGGATCGCTGTCTCGAGTCAGTGGGTGTGCTGGGAAATGGGGTTTGGGCACTGAACCCGGGGTTTGGGGGATGACAGGCCGGCCCTGTTGGCAGTCAGGGCTGGAACTCCTCCAGTGAAGATCTCACCATGTGTTAGGGTGACGTGCCTTAGGTATCTCTTGGTTGTTTGTTTATGATTATTAAGGGGGTATCAGAGATACCCCAGTTGGTGAACTGAAGTTCTTTATTTAAAACTTACGTTTACACACTTTGTCGTAAATGCATATTTTAGGATTTCTAGCACTTTGGGCTTTACCTTGGAACAGCGATTTTTAACTAGTGTGCTGTAAGAATTTTAATAACACATAATACCTGCCCTAGCCGGTTTGGTTCAGTGGATAGAGCGTCGGCCTGTGGACTGAAAGGTCCCAGGTTCGATTCTGATCAAGGGCACATGCCTGGGTTGTGGGCTCTATCCCCAGTGGGGGGCATGTAGGAGGCAGCCAATCAATGATTCTCTATCATCATTGATGTTTCTATCTCTCCCTCTCCCTTCCTCTCTGAAATCAATAAAAGTATATTTAAAAAAAAACACAACCAAAACACACGATACCTGACTAGTCAGGTGCACTGACCTCTTCTCCCTTAGAATGTCAAATAAAAAAAATGACAGCAGCCAACACAATAGCTGTCCGGTGTTAATGGATCAAAATTATACCTATTTTTTGTCAGATTTCCGGTGTTAATGGGTCAAAATTATACCTATTTTTTGTCAGATCAGCAAAAATTATATTTTTTGGTGTGCTGCAGAATTTCAGAGATGCAAAGGTACCATGAGATGCAAAAGGTTGAAAATCGCTGCCTTAGAATGTTTATCTCCGTCAGTCCTATTATCTGATGCCCATGATTATCATGCTATGCTTTCTATGTTATTTATGCTGGTAGAGAGCAACATTTCTGAAGGAAAAACCTGTCACTTTTCCTGGGGCCTGGAGCACAGGTGCCTGCATCTGAGACACTCGGTAAAATGTGTCGCCTTGTTCCTGTTCCTCGAGAGACGATACCTTCTCCCTGACCATTCTTAAGGATTTCATGGAAACGAGGTGATGTCCAGCCTGAGCCAGTCCCCTGGGCACAGGTGTTTGGCTGCAGTGCTGTCCTGAGGACTGGGCAGAGGGAGACCGCGTCTCTCTGACAGCATCTTCACAGCCTGTGTGCCCAGGTTGAGCCCTGGCGGGCGGGCCTCGGGCTGTGCGGCTTACTGCAGGCGTTCCCTTTGCTTACTTGTGCTTTTCTCCTGAAGATGCCTGAGGGGCACGGCACTAACCGAGAAGGTGTGAACCGGATGGAAGCTCTGATTTGGTTATTTCTCTGGGACTGCTGTTGAAGTCTGGTTTCTTTGTCTAACCAGCCCCACTTACGAGGTTCTCTTTTCTCTTGCAGCACCTGTCCCTCAAAGCTAAAAGGGCCAAGGTCCAAGACCAGTGAGCAGAGCTGGGCTGCTTGGGGCCCGCTCCTCCATGCTGCTTCTCCCAGCTCGGGGCGCAGTGAGCTGTCCTTGGCTCATGTGGACCTTCAGCTGCTCTGATGGGGGCCGTTGCCCATTCTTCCCGCTCCCCTCAGCATTGCATTCCTCGCTGGGATCCCGGAGGAGTTGTGCGTGGGCAGGCACCCTGCCGTGCTGCACCCAGGCAGAGCGGGGGTTGTCAGGGCTTTGCTCTTTGGTCACTCGGCACCCTCACTGACCAGCCTGCCACTTCCCACAGGCACGCCGTCCTGGCCCAGCTAATGGGGACGGAGGAGGAAAGTGAGCCACTGCCGGCCGAGGCACCATGTCGAGTGCACAGAGGGTTTGCTGGGCTGGCTTTGTTCTCTCCTGGGGGGCACAGCTGTGTCGACTAGTGAGGGCCAGATGGGAATCTGTGCATCTCCGGAGGGAGAGACCCCGGAAACGCTGTGATTTCCACCAAAATCACCGAGGGTTCCCGGACCAAGCAGCTTCTGGTCCCCCCTTTTGCGCACGTTCCTGTTTATCTACGGCCAGAAAACTCACAAGGATTGGTGATGACGGAGAGGACTCAAGCACCGTTCTTTGTTACAGAAGTGGACTAGCTTTCTCCGCTTGTAGGATACCACGTCCCCTGCCACCAGCAGAGCACTCGTGAACACCCATCAGCTCAGCCCCACCGGGGACCCTCTGCGGCAGGAGCTACCAGCAGCGTAGAGACTCTCAGCTTCTCTAGCTCAGGAACAGAACTTATGCATTTGTTTTTGTTCGTTTGCTGGGTTCTTGCGAGAACGTGGGCGGCTCTTCCAGCAGGCACTGGTCTCATTGCTGCCCAGGCTTCTTTGCTGAGAGGTTGGCACTTCAACATGTGACCTGTCCAGATTTGATCACCTTCCTGTTTCAATGACGTTTATTTTAAGAACATGTAGTGTGAAAGTTTATTTTTATACTGACCTTAGTATGTACCTGCCACTTTGGCACCAAACGTGTATGCCATTTTTATTTCCATTTTTTAAAACGTGTTAATAATAGTGATAACCTGTTAATAATAGTAAGCCTTTATATCTAAAGTAAATGTATTCCCTTCCACCCCAGTTCTCATGGTCTGTGTTTTAAGATGGTCCACTTCATTCTCCTGAGTGAGGGCCTGACATTAGCTAAGAAACCTGATGCGGTGGCATGCGGCGGCTTTAGGGGCCAGGTAGACAAGGAAGCCACCCAGCAAGGTCACATGACCACATGCCCTCAAGGCCTCACTACAGCAAACCATGGAACGCAGTTTAAATGAAGTCCCAAGAATTCTTGCCAGTGTTCAATTGGGGTCTTCCTGTAGAGAGGTCTGAAGTACCTACTTGGAGAAAGTCTGAATTTAGGGCCAGGGCTGGTCCCCATAAGCTTCTGTTGGGGTGGAAGGAGGAAAGTGTGGAGGAACCACACCCTCTGAGTGAGACCAGAGATCCAAAATGAGAGGCCATGGTGGGGGACGCAGCCTGGGGGAGCCTGGTGGCACTGGCCGCCTCTGCCTGTGGGTGTCTGGTCCTGAGCACATCTGCCTACATCCACCTCAGAGAGCGCCGCCCCGGGGTAGGCGTCTGAGCTGTTATGCTGAATCCACAGTGTGTGGAGAACTCGTCACCGTCGGGGGCTGTCACTGTAAAGCCACAGCCTTCACGGGCATCTGAAGAACCACACACCTTGTCAAGGAGTGATGTCCTGGCCTGGCTGAGACGAGACAACGGCCAGCAGGGCCTGATCACCTAGCAACTCACAAGACTGTCCCCAAGCAGCTCCACAAGAGTTAGAACCCTCAGGCTCAGCATGGATTTTCAAAATCAAGAGTGAAATTTCTCCAACACTGCAGTGTCTTCTTCTGCTGCGGGGAGGTGGAGGGACGTCTGTGCTGGAGAACGCGTGGACAGTGAGGTCCTGTAGGCTCAGAGACTGGAGCTTTCTGTGCCTGTGGCTCATGCCCTGAGGTTCTGTCCCATGGCTGGTCTCCCAAGGAGTCCCCTGGGCCAGCCAGGCCTCCTGCTGGTCGTTCAGTCAGCAAGTGGTGGGCGAAGGCCTCAGTGTGTGCATGGCACAGGGATGGGGCGGGGATGTTGGGCCAGCACAGAGGAGGGCGACAGGAATAGTGGCAGAGACTGCAGAGGCCAGGGCTGCAGCCAAAGGACGCTTCCCCTCTACAAGACCTTGTGAATGTACCGAGGGTGCTCACATTCTGCCCCGTCTGCCTGCCTGTCCTCCCCAGTGGAGTGTTTCCCTCGGCCATGAACTTAAGAGTGGCACAGGCCCCAGCCCACACTCCTGTCTGCTACTGTTCTGGCCTCAGCACAGCCTGTGGCCAGCGCTGCTTTCACTTGGTGGCCCAGGTGCTGCCATTTACACAGCTCCCTGGCATCCTGTCCTGTTCTCAGCTCCGCTTTCCAGCCATTTCACAGGTTTGATGGGGGAGGCACAGGACTGAAGCCCCTAAGTCAGCACGGCCATGAGGCCACCATGTTAGAACCATGTGGCTGGAGCTTTGCAAGCGGCAGACCCTCCCACTCCGAGGCCTGGTCCAGTAGCTCCAGGACAGGCCTCATGGTCCGTGGTTGGAATTTGGCTCCAGGCAGGTCCTGGTGGTGGGCACTGTTTTTTCTCAACTTTCCTGTCAAAATGAGTAACTTGGATCATGAGCATTTCATGAGGCTCAAAGTTATTCTACCTAAAAGACCATCTAGTCTCTGGTTTGAAAATGTTCTTTCTTTTAGAAAATGATGGTAGCTAAAAAAATGTTTTCCTTGGAACAATTAAATACTAACAATCTTACATCAGTCTCCTAATTAAAAACCAATCAAAACAAAAACAACCCCTGGCTGATGAAATCCCCAAGTCTGGGAACCACTGGGGTGGTGGGCTGAGCGGACTGGGGGCGAGCTGGCAACACCAGCACCAAGCGTCAGGGCCAGGAAAGTGGGTCTGCCCTGCCAGGCACCTGAAATTCCAACGAGCGGGTGCAGCTGGGGGACTCTTGTCTTTGCATAATTGGAAGGACTCAAATGAGCAGGACTCGGCCCCTTATCGCTTACTGTCCTGTTAGGTAAGACTAGGATTTCCACTCTCCGATGACTCATCTGGATTTTTCCTCGGCCTTCCAACTTGTGCTGAAGGGGTGAGGGAACTCTGGATTTCCTGTCAGCTTAATCTATTTTTTTCTGTCATGGAAACTGGTAACAACCGATTACATCGTTTGGGACACAGCTGGCCACTCCGTGGGAGGAGCTGGAGTCTGCCTGGCAGGCCTGGAGAGGGCTTGTCCCTGGGTCCTCAGTCTGCTCCCTCTGACAAGACCACATTCTGCCATCCCTGGCGCATCATGGAGCTGGTACCTGGTGCACTGTTGGGTGGCATTAGACTTGTCCAAACGGCTGCCTCCTTGCCTGCCAGATTCCTGATGCAGCATTTCCCCTGGCCTGTGGCCTGGCGGGTTCTACTGAAGGCAATGAGCAAGCAAAGGAGGTGGGAGGTTCAGGAGGGAGTGGGTGTGGTGGGGAGGGCTCAGTGGTGATGCCCAGAGTCTCCATAGCCAGGTGAGAGTCGAGCACAGCTGCTGCCCCAGAGCCTGGGCAGCACCTCTGAATACTGTCTGGCCCCAGGCTGATGGGCGAAACCTGACATGATTCAAAGGTGGTAGCACAGGCCCCTTCCTGCCTCTGGACTACTGCGTCTGGACCCTGCTGCAGTCCGCCTTCACTCGGTTATTCTCGCTCCATTCCCACTTGCTTTGTTTTCTGTTTGAAAGTACAGTTGGGTTCACCTAGCATAGTTACTGTGTTTACTCTTAGCTCTTCTTTGTTGTGTTTTGTTGTTGTTTCCACTTGTGAGTATCCTTCATCCCTTATTTTTACCTCTTTGACTTCTGCATTATTTTCCCCGCCTTTAAAAGAATATTTTTATTGATTTTTGGTGAGAGAAGAACGGAGAGGGAGAAAGAAAAACATCAGTCGGGGAGCATAACATCAATCGGCTGCCTCCTGCACACCCCCTGTGGGGATTGAGCCCACAACCCAGGCGTGTGCCCTGACAGGGAATCGACAAACAAACCAATTGGCAACCTTTTGGTGCACAGGATGATCCCCCCAAAATGGCCACAAAGACCAGCCCCCCCCCCCCTTCCCTTTTTTTTTTTTTTTAAATCATGAAGTTGCTTCTTTTTTATACTGTTTTTAAAAAGTATTTTTAGCCCTAGCTGATTTGGCTAAGTGGATAGAGCATCAGTCCGTGGACCAAAAGGGTCCCAGGTTAGATTCCGATCAAGGGCACGTACGTACCTTGGTTGCAGGCTCCTCCCCAGCTTGATGTTTCTGTCTTCCTCTCATCCACTCTCCCTAAAAATAAATGGCAAAATATATCCTCGGGTGAGAACTAGCAACAACATCGATGCCGGGGTCCAACCCCAGCGGGTCCAGGGGTCCCCAAAGGTGTGGACGGAGTCGGCGAAGAAGGAATGACACAGAGACAGCGTTCAGTTGATCAGCAGCCTTGCCAGGATCTCTAGCCACAATCTCCAGCCAAGTTCTGTGTCCATGTTCTCTTGCTAGTTTCTCCAGCCAGGTTCTCCAGGTCCTCCAGCCAAGTTCTGTAGCCATGTTCTCTCGCCAGGCTCCCCCGTCAGGCTCGGCCCAGGCTCTCCAGCCAGGCTCGGTCGCCAGGCTCTGTCTAGGCTCTCCAACCAAGCTCCACAGCCAGGTTCTGTCCAGGATCCCCCGCCAACCCGCCTGGCAGTTAAGAGGTTTTATTCCCGCCCTAACTTCAGGGGAAAATCCCTACCTGGGGAAACAACCTTTCTCAGAGAGGTGACCTTGGTTAAAACACATAGTGCCAAGAAGGTGACCAAACATATTAAGAACAGTATGCCATATACGCCAGGTCCCTTGAAACAGCAAGGATGGACCGGCTCCCGGCACTTTATCATTTACAGACACTAAAAATATGTACACATAAGAAACTGCGTTTGCAAAAACACATACAAACCAACAGATACACAGTAGAAGGGTTGCCTGAAGAAGGTAGGGGAGGATGGGAGTGAGGAGAGGAAATAAAGTGGGTAGCTCGTGGGATTTATCTGGACACAGGTCATCCAGATTTCCAAGACAGGAACTCGTAGGACAGAGGATGCCGTTGTGAGTCCTTCCTGCCGATCGGCATCCTTAAGATGGAATTCATGTTCTCAATCCGCGGGGCCTGTGGTCCCTTTACTTCAGCTCATGGCACTGTACTTCCGGAACCTTCTTGCCCTCAGCACTGGCCTGGATCATTGAGGCTAAAAAGAACAGGATATGCCAAGGCTTTGAAAATCCCTGGGTAATCTTTTACCACCCAGGGAGCATATAAACTTCAGCCGCATTGGCTGCCCCCGTGCGGCTCCTGCTCTCACCACCACGGGCTGGCTGGTCGTTTAGAAGCCTCTTAATCGGCACTGGGGTCTGGTTTTCCAAGAATTGCCTCGCAGGGAGGAGAAATCTGGGCCAGGTTAGTGAGGCAACTTGCAAATTGGAAGAGGCCACCAGGGAACTTGTTAAATTTAAGTCTTACTCTGCAATGTTCATGGCTCGGAGAAAGGTATTATAAATCAGCCTGGCATGGGCCTCGGACTCAGGAGGGCAGATTCTGGAACAGTGACAGACCCAGGGGTGAGTGGGGTCGTGGAAACCAGCGTCGAGGGAGACAGGGCAGGCCTCCCGTTCCCAGATTTATAAACCAAGGTCAGCTTCCTGGACTGACCATGCCTGGCCCAGATCTGAGTGGGCCCAGGTGGAGTAAGATTTTTTACATTTGATTTTTGCCAACTGGTTAATCCGTTGTTCCAGCCAGAATTAGGGTAAACGTCCCTGCACTGCCATAGCCTCTCCTGGTTTGTGCCCAGATGGGATTCTAACACCCACTGGGTGCCATGAATAACTTGCATCCACACAGACACCTAGTGACAACACACCTGGTGTCTCCTGCGTGATGGGGGTGAAAGCACTGAAATCTGAGGCAGGAGACCAGATTTTAAAACTTCAATAAAACAAAACAACCCTTACTGTGAGGAGGAAACTGGTCTT